GGCATTGACCACGAGATCCCCCTGGAAAAGGATACAAACGGCCAAGACAAGACGCCACCTTGGGGACCACTGTATAGCATGTCGCGTGAGGAACTGATCGTCTTGCGAAAGACCCTTACGGAGCTTCTGGACAAGAACTTCATCAGGGCAAGCAGCTCTCCTGCCTCAGCACCAGTGCTTTTCGTCAAGAAACCAGGGGGCGGCCTTCGCTTTTGTGTTGACTACCGGGGGCTGAACGCAATCACCCGCAAGGACAGATATCCTTTACCTCTTATCAGCGAAACGTTGAGGTCCCTGTCTAAGGCAAGGTGGTTCACGAAGCTGGATGTGATTGCGGCATTCCACAAGATTCGCATCAAGGAAGGGGAGGAGTGGAAAACAGCTTTCCGCACCCGATATGGACTTTATGAATGGCTGGTCACCCCCTTTGGACTGACTGGCGCGCCAGCCACCTTCCAGCGATACATCAACAACACTCTACGGGAATTCCTGGATGAGTTTTGCTCAGCCTACATAGACGACGTCCTCATCTACTCGAGCGGCTCTCTAGCGGACCATAGGGAGAAGGTCAGGAAGGTCATGAAGAGGCTTCAGGATGCCGGCCTCCAGGTTGACATCGACAAGTGCGAATTCGAGACCACGACCGTCAAATACTTAGGATTCATCGTGGAGGCTGGCAAGGGGGTTCAGGTTGACCCTACGAAGATTGAGGCCATTGAGTCATGGGAGCGCCCACGATCTGTCAAGGGAGTTCGCAGCTTCTTGGGATTTGCCAACTACTACCGCGACTTCGTCCCTAGGTTCTCGGATATAGCGATGCCCCTAACAGCACTGACGAAGAAAGGCACCCCTTTCGTCTGGTCACCCCAGTGCGAGCAGGCTTTCCAGCACCTGAAGGCCCTCCTGATCGGAGCCCCTATCTTGGCCCAATGGGACCCAGAACGGAAGACAGTGGTTGAGGTGGACTCGTCTGGTTACGCTGTTGGAGGAGCCCTCTCCCAGTACGGAAACGATGGACTCCTACACCCAGTCGCCTTCTTCTCCCGGAAAAATTGCCCAGCCGAGTGCAACTACCCGATTCACGACAAGGAACTCTTGGCGGTAATACGCTGTTTGGAGCAGTGGGACGCAGAGCTACGAAGCGTGCCGTCATTCGAGGTCTGGACGGACCATAAGAACCTCGAATACTTCCAGAAGAAACGGCAATTGAGCGAGAGGCAGGTTCGCTGGGCAGAGATCCTTGCCAGATACAACTTCACCCTGAGATATCGGCCTGGCAAAGAAGCGGCAGTCCCAGACGCCCTCTCAAGGAGAGAGCAAGATATGCCAGCAGATGAGTTCGACGAACGCCTCGCAGGACGCTATTTCCAGCTGTTGAAGGCCAGAAGGGGCCGCATC